GCACTCTGGCCAGGCAGTGGTGGCACACGCCTTTAATCCCAGCACTTGGGAGGCAGAGGCAGGTGTGTTTCTGAGTTCCAGGACAGCCAGGGCTACACAGAGAAACCCTGTCTCGAAAAACAAAACAAAAAACCAAACAAACAAAAAAAGAAATTGCACTCTCCATTCTCTTTAGTTTCACAAAAAGGTCTGATAACAGGACAGTGTTCTCTGTAACACTGTTCATACACAAAAGGCGAGGGGCTCCAGGGAAGGGAGGCCCTGGCCCTAGAGTTTCTTTTTTAATTTTTTATGTGTGTTTTTCTTGCATGGATTTCTGAACCATATGTATGCAGTGTCCTCAGAAGCCAGCAGACAGCATTGGATCCTTTAGAATTGGAATTACAGGTGTTTTTGCGTACCATGTGGGTGCTGGGAATTGAACTCAGGTCCTCTGCAAGAGAAGCGAGTGTTCTAGCCATTGCCCCAGCCCTCTGGTCTTCCTGTTTGATGTCTAGGAGAAAGCTCATCCTTCCTAAAAGATGGATTGATCAGTGCTAGAGGAGTCTGCTGATCCAGGAAGAAGAGACGTTTTATTTTGTCTATTTATTTGTTTATTATTTATTTACTTAATGTTAGCTTAGAGCTGCCAGCTTTCTGGGGAAGGTATCAAGTGGCTGACTTCATACCCCAGCTTTCTGGGGAAAGTATCAAGTGGCTGACTTCATACCCCAGCTTTCTGGGGAAAGTATCAAGTGGCTGACTTCATACCCCAGGGGGCCCCTCAGCATTCATGGGTACTCTGGTACATTTGTTTTAAAACCTGTGAGGTGTTCTGTGGACCCTTTAAGTTTCCTCAAAGAAAATGGGATGGAGACTGGAGTATGCACTCACCCCAGATCCCCAGTGCCTCATGCTGCCCAGGCTGACTAGGAAGCTTCCTATGTAGCTGAAGACATGAAAACGACCTTCAAGTTCTCATCCTCCTGCCTCCACTTCCTGAGTGCAAGTGTGGAGCTTGCAGGTGGTTTTCTGTGGTGCTAGGGACAGAACACAGCTTCATGGATGCCAGGCAAGCCCTCTCCAGTCAGCCCCACACACCATGCTCTTCTCGTTTTGAAATCCTCTCTTCCAGGGAGAAAAGCTAATGAGAAGGAACGGCAGGCGGCCCTCCAAGTGGCTGATGGCTTCATCTCTCGAATGAGCTATTCCCCAAACACTCAGGTGAGGACAGGACCCCACCTCCTCCTGGGACCCTTCCTACGTCTCCATATTTCCAGACTGGACAGGAGCAGGATGGCTCAGGAGTTGTCAGGAAACCTGCCTGCCTTCAGACCTGTTAGGTGGAAAGACCTTTTTAATCCATCACCATTGAACACAACAAAACAACAACAACATCAACCCAAAACTTATTTCCAGAGAAAATCCTGGGAGCCTGAAAGACAGAGCATGAAACTGGTGGTGGCTGTCTTCAGCATGGTGGCTGCACAAGTCATTCTCATCCTGCCTCTCTCTTCTAGGGTCTCATGTAGCCCAGGCTTGGCCTCTCTATCTAGCCAAGGATGACCTTGAACTTCAGATCTTCTTGCCCGTACGTCCCAGTCTCTAGGACTATGAGTGTGTGCCACCGTATCTGGTTTACCCGGTGCTGGGAACTGAACCCAGGACTTTACACGTGCTACCAACTGAGCTGTGTCCTCAGCTCCCCCTTCTCCTTTTTTGAGACAATGTCTCTCTTTGTTGCCCAGATTAGCTTAGAATTCACTATGCCTACCCTGGCTGGCCTTAAACTCACAGCCGTTCTCTTGCTGAGATGACAGGGAGTCACCATGCCCTGCTCAGCAGTCCGTTCTGGGAAAGGTGATGTCTACCTGGTGGCATCTTCCAGACTGAGTGCCCCATCCTTGAAGCAGTGTCTCCTCTGTCTTCTCGGAACAGGCCTACACCACTGGCCTCCTCTCACCTCGTGTTACAGGGCTCTTGTCTTCCTGAATGAAAGAATTCAGTCAAGAGACAGATAGTCTGAGCAAAATTTATTTAGTAAATTCAAGCAAAGGGACACTCAGAGAGAGATTGGAGTGCATTGCCCCCTGGTGAGGAGCTCCTCCCTGCATTCTGCATTGTGGATATTGAAAACAATTTTATGAATATTTGTGAGGTGGGTGGTATATTTGTGGGGTAAAGTGGTCTTTTTCCTCTCCTAGATCAAGACAGGCCAGATACCCCTTTAGAGGATTTTTTCCCCATACTCCTCTAGGAAAACCTACAAAAGAGTGTGTGTCTGTGTGTGTGTGTGTGTATGTGTGTCTAACATCACAGTGCAAGTGATATTAGTGACCACAGGTCACTTGAAGATGACCTTGTGGCTGATGGCATGCATGGGAAATGCCCCAGCACCTTAATCTCTGGTGTAGCAGGACAAGTATAGGGCATGACAGGAATATTGAGTCACAAAGGAGCATTCTCTCAGGAGACAAAGCTGGCTGCACAGCTGCAGCTTCTTTAAATCCTTGCCTACCCGGTGCTGGTGTCCTCACCCCCCCCCACCCCCCAGCAGAGGTGACACCCTGTGAGCAGAGCTTTTCTCCCACTGCAGGTGGAGATTCTGCCCCAGGGCCGAGAGAGTCCCATCTTCAAGCAATTCTTCAAGGACTGGAAGTGAGAGTGGCTGTCCCCATCCCTGCTCTCCTGACTCGCACCACCTTCCCCTCTGGCTGCTGAGTCAGCACTGAGGTGCCCTCTGGATGCTCAATAAAGGACACATTCCGTTCCCAGCTCTCTTCCGCCCTAGCTCTCTTCCTGTGCCGCTTGCCCCCGGCTGATTTTAGTCCCACCTGTTCACTGGGGCTCATCCCCATGCTGAGGGGTGAGTAGAACATAATCAGCAAGTCCATAGCTCTCAGGAGCCCAGCACTGGCTCTGCATGACCAGGACTCCCAGTCAGGATGCTGGCCAACCCCCACCATGCCCAGAAGAACCTTATAGGGAAGTGGCACAGTGCCAGGCCTCAGCATCACTTTCAAGTCTCACATTCCCAACTGAGAGAAGGCAGTGGCTGAGACCTGGGATAGATTTCTGTTCAAGCCAGTCTTTCCTCAGACAGTCCAATAAACACCCCCAAGGCAGTTTTAAATGATGACACTCACCCAGGAATGGGACAGAATGTAGAACAGGTTAGCTATTGTTCCTCATTCAAGTGAGTTTTGTGTTTGGCTCACAGCCCAAGGCCTCTGTGTGTGTGTAAAGTACCTATCTATAGGGGAGAGGCCCTGCACATAAGTGCATGCTCGAATGTGCGTGTACGCATGCGTGTGCATGCGTATGTCTGAAAAGCTCCAGTTTCTAGAAGAGCAGCCTTGGTTCCTCTCCCTGGTTACAGCCCTGTTCTGTTTCTTGTTAATGGCATGATGTGGCCTTGTCAAAGAGGGCAGGGTGTGTGTGCTGGGGAGAAGAGATGTCTATAAATCTGACACTTCTGAGGCAGAGGCAGGAGAACTGTGAGTTCAGCCTTTGCTATATAGTGAGTCCAAGGTCTGCCTAGGCTATATGGAACCCTATTTTAAAACAAACTAGCTAGAGAGGGGCAGGGGAATGTGTCACAAAGAACACACACACACACGCACACGCACACACATGCATGCACAGTGTGTGGTGTCTTGGTGAGCTTGGACCAGAGTTCCTAACAGCAGTCACCCTGAGCCACCCCTTCTGTGTCCTAAGAGGTACTGTGACTTCTGAGCTGTCACGCACTGGATTCTTCTGGCCCCCACAAAACCCACACAGCTAAGAAGCAAGGAAAGGCAAGCTCCTCTACTGACCCCCTCTTCCGTACACCCTGAGACTTTCTAGCCCTTGACTGGCCACATAGGCCAGGGAGAGAGGAAGGCATGTACCCACTCAGTAATTCTGACAACTTTAGATTTACGGAGTACTTTAAGGTCTCCCATGGAGAGCTGTCCCCGCTATGGCCAAGAACAGCACATAGTTTTTCAGCTACTATCAGAGACCTCCTATCTCCACCTCAGTCCTGTAGCCAACCTAGCAGGAGAGCTGCTTTCTGGGTTATCCTGGAGCTGTGTGCACCCTGATCTGGGTGAAGGATTCCTGCTGGGGATGCTGGCCCCTTCCAGCAGATGCTGCTAGGGTTCATGTGGCTTGGGCCCTGATATGCTGGGATCCTGTTCTTTCAGCCTTGCAGCTCAAGCAAGGGAATGGATGGAAGGGAAGGAAGCACCAAAGTGACATAGGCCTGAGCTGCCTTCCTGGCCTCTCTGCTGGTCGCTGAATATGGGGGCTGGAAGAAGTGACACTGTAATAAAGCATTCTAGTTGAGGCCCTGTAAATATGATGGAAGGCCAACTGCTGGGCATGTCACAAGCACCCTGGGAGGCCTGTTTGTCTCTTGACCAGATTTGGAGTGGCCTGAAACAGGTAGAGATGGACACAGGCTTCTACAGCTTCATTTGAGGGAAGATGGGACGAGCACAGGGGGCCTGAGGCTGTGGTGGGTGGGAGTGAGGGGCTGGAGTGAGGGAGCAACATCCAGGCCCAGAAGCAGATGCAGGAAGATTCAGTCAACCTTAGCAAGAGCACCATGCTTATTGGCCAAAGCTTGCAAGAAGTCTCCGGGCCCGGGTGCAAGATGGCTGAGCAGGTAAGAAGCTTGCCACAGACGCCTGATGACCTGGTTTTAATCCCTAGAACTTAAAGGTATTAGGAGAGAAGCAACTTCACAAAGCTGGCTGTTGACCTCCCCACACTTGCTTTGTCATGTGTGTGCGCACCACACGTCATGTCATACACACAAACAATAATGATACGGAAAAAGAAAGACATCGGGCATGCAGGTGCAGCCAGGGAACTCAGGTGGTGTGTAGCCATGGAGTAGAAAGCGACTCCAATCTGGAGTCTGCAACCCCACTGAACCCTAGGCACTTTAATCTGCTTGGCTCAGCCTGGTGCCCAGACAATGCGGGTACAACAGGAAGGCCCTGAAAGGACTTCGTCTTGGAAGAAAGTACTGGAGATTATAACAATTCCTTTATTTTAAAACTGTGGGTGGGTGAGGTTACTTTGCCTCTCAACCAGGCTAGATAACCAGTGGTCTCCATAGGAACTCCAGCCTGTGGGCAGTGGGGCTGGGGTGCTTGATGACCAGTCTAGCCAGATAGAGTGCCCATTTCTAGATTACAAACAATGGTGGGCAAAGGAGAGGGGAGGGGAAAGAGCAAGGAAGCATGGAAACAAGTGTCTTGAAACCGGTAGCAGGAGGAAGAGGGCCACTTTCTCTGTATTGTGCTGCCCCCTGCTGGTTGAAGATATTGCTGTCTCTGTCTTTCCAATTCCAACCAAAGACTGGGGACGGCTGTTGAGTCAGAATCTTAGCTGTTGCTTCCACGGTCTCTCCCTCTAGGTGCAGATGTGTAGACAATTCAGAGAGGGCTGTCTGGCCTCATGGTCTGTTCACTTCCACTGAGATATCGGGAGTCCAACCCTGTGAACTGGGAGCCCAGCTGGGAAGGACAGAAGACTCCTTGCTTCGAAGATGGCATGGAGGGTAATTCTAGCTGCCTGAATGAGCTATGCTGGTGTAGAATAGTGGGCGTCACGACCCACACCTGGGAGCTTCCTAACTCACCTGCAAAGGCATGGAGGGCTTTGGCCCAGACACAGTTCTTTAGTTCGGAAAGCTCCAGCGGCCCAGCCTGTCTTTCTAGGAATGGTCTCTGTGGTGGGTCAGATCAACCCTGTACTCTCAAATGAATGAGACTGGAGGTCACACACGCCTGTGAACGTGAGATCCTTGGAGTGAGGTCCCTGTGACCCAGGGCACTTCTGTGCCTCCAACAAGGAGGACTGTCCCTTTGACACCTGAGCTAGGTACTCGTCCAGGGTCTTGAGCAGCCGTCTTGGGCTCTTCTTGGCCAATGCTTCCAAGTCTGGAACAGAAGAGATCAGGGAACTGAAGGCTTAGGGGGCTCAGGATGGCACACAAATCTAGTAACAAGTCCAATGGCTTTGTGGACATCTCCAAACCCTGTCCTTGTTTGTTTGTTTGTTTGTTTTGAGACAGAGTTTCTCTGTGTAGCCCAGACTGTATTAGAACTTACTCTGTAGACCAGGCTGGCCTCAAACTAAAAAGAGATCTGCCAGCCTCTGTCTTCTGAATGCTCGGATTAAAGGCATGCACCACCCCATCTTGTGCTACCCCTGTCCTTTAAAGATGGCCAAATGGCAAAACCAGACAGAGCCCAGGAACCACTTCTCTGCTGTGACACAGAACTCAATTCTGCGGAATCAGTCCAGCCGCTGGGCCTTGTTTCCCACAGCCTTCAGTGTTTAAGGTTTTTATTTATTTTATATGTATTAGGTTTTGCTTGAGTGGATGTCTGTGTACCACAGGTGTGCCTGATGCCTGAGGTCAGAAGAGGGCACCAGATCTCTTGGAACAGGAGTTATAGATGGCTGTGAGCTGTCATGTTGGTGCCAGAGTTAGAAGCCAGTCCTCTGGAAGACAGCCAGTGCTCTTAACTGCTGAGCCACCTCGCCAGTGCTGGCTTCCATGTCTCTGTTTTTGTTTTTGAGACAGTTCTTCTGTAGACCTTTAACCTTTTACTTCCGTGTCTGCACCTACTGAGTGCTGAGATTACAAGCCTGTGCTACCACACAGTTTAGGCACCGCTGGGCATGGAGCCCAGGGACTCCTGAATGCCAGGCAGGGCCCTCACAATGGAGCCACATACCCAGCTGAGCTTTTATTGATGGTATGTTCTCAAGATTTATTTTTATTATTTCTTAAAGTCTGTATGTGAGTCTGATAGTGGGTATCTGTGTGGATGCCTGCAGAGGTCAGAGATGTAGTTAGAATCTCCCTGGAGCTCTCCCTGGAGGCAGGTGTGAGCTGCTGGCCATGGGTGCTAGGAACCTAATAGGGTCCTTTGCAAGAGAAGTGGGCTATCTTAACCACTGAGCCGTCTTTCAGTTCTGTTCTGTTGTTTTATGAGACAGGGTCTTACTACGTAGCCCTGGTTTGTCTGAAACTCATGTAGACCAGGCTGGCCTTGAAGTCACAGAGATCTGCCTGCACTGTGCCGAACACGCTAAATTTTTGGTTCAGAAGATGTGAGGTTTTTGTCGTTTGATGTGATCGTTGAGAGCCATGCATGATGGCTCAGACTGTCATCCCAACACAAGGAAGGCGGATGCAGGACTGTCGCCTGGTTACAGTGAGAGACTGCATCTCAAACATCTAAACAAAAGTGACCGTGATAACAAGTAAGTATCAGAGGTGGCCGCAGCCTGGCACAGTGGTGCATGCCTGTCATCTTTGTACTCAGGAAGCAGAGGCAGATGGACTGTCTTAAGTTCAAGGCTAGCATGATCTACACAGCAAGCTCCCGGACAGCCAGGATCTCTTAGAGTGATCCTGATTCAACACAAAAACAACAAGCAAGCAAGCGAGGGAACAGAGAGGGAGGAGGGTTTGCAGAGAAAGAAGACAGCCCCAGGGTGTTCTGAGGACAGGCGGGAGGGAAGGAGGAGAGGGAAATACAATAGTTCTACTCTGGGCTCTCAGGGCCTGGACACAGAAGAAAGTGCCAACCTTTGAGGACAAAACCTGAATCTAAAATCGTCTTCTGCTGGGTCCTCCACATGCGTGCCAGGTGAAGGAAAGTAGCCGCGTAGAAGCTGTTTACCACTGGGATGACCTTCTGCCGACGGTTGCACTCCCTACAGGACAGAAGAGGTGACCTGTTTAGCCATAGATGAAACCAACACACCAATGCCTCCTTCCTGGCCTACTGGGTCACCTCAGGAAGCCTCCACCCCACCACACCCGCCCCACCAGCTTTTGGCAGCCTGGCATTTGGGTAGGTTGGTGAGGAGAGGTGGCTGGTGCATGGAGATGCAGTCCAGCTCTGGAAACCAGCAGGTAATAGAGCTGTGGACAAGGCCTGAGGCATGGAGGGGACTGGACCAGGTTCTACCGGGTCACTCTGATCCACTAGGGACTCACCTGGAGAGGCACTCTTCCCTCAAGGCCTGGATGGCAATCCGGGTGATGTTCACAGACATCAAACAGAAGGGGAATTGCTGGAATGGAGTATCATAAATTAGTGGCCAGCCAACTCTGCCCTTAGACATCTCCTCCGCCTCAGGTGACTGGCAGGAGCTAAACCTACAGAGGTGACTGCTGCTGTCACTGTCCCTGTGTCCCACCTTACAAAAGGCCTGGAATCCACGAGTCCACAGAAGGTTGTCCCAAGGCAGTCCCACGTCCAACTCCTTCCTTTTTCCTTGTTTTGTTTGTTTGTTTGTTTGTTTTTAAAGACAGGTTTTCACAGATCACATGCTTGATTCACTCTTTGCAGCCAAGATTGATCTTGAACTATATATGGACTGACTGACTGTGTATGGTCTGAGTGCTTGCCTGCATGTATGTCTGTATACCTAGTGCCAGGGGAGGCCAGGAGAGGTTGTTGGACCCCCTGGGAGTGGAGTTACAGACAGTTGTGAGCTGATATGTGGGTGCTGGGAATAGAACCTGGGTCCTCTTGAAGGCAGTCAGTGCTCTTAACTGTTGAGCCATCTCACCAGCTCTTGACTTTGAACTCTGACCTCCTTCCTCCTCCTGCCAAATACTGGCATTACAGTCACGTGCCACCCATGCCCAGTTTATGTGGTGTTGGGGACCAAACCTTAGGCATCGTGAGGGTCTTGCTGTGCAGCCCTGGCTGGGTTGAAGCTTGGTATGTAGACCAAGCTGGCCTCACACTCCTGTTCCTCGTGGCCACTTCTGCATTTTCATTTGCCTTCGTGGCTTTCCTTTGGGCTTAACTATTTTTGAATACTCAAGCAGGATGATCCAAGCATCTCTTGAGGTTTAGCTGGCCTCTCTCCAGGTTCTGGTGTGTGACATGTGTGACACATTCCAGGTGACTCTGGGGTGGGCCGCTGGCAAGTGTGGACTCACTCTAATACTTCTGAGCACCTGCTCTGTGCTGGGAGAGGAGATTCTCAAAGACAGAATGCCATGCTATGAAGATGCCTCCTGGACAGCCAGCCAATCACCATCCGCGCTGCAGCAAGGTGCCTCTAAAGGAGATGGGTGAGTCCCATTTCTCTCAGAGGACTGAGCTACTTTTCAGGATAAAGGGCTAAAAGCCCTTCTGCAATCTGGGGTGCACAGAAGGCAGGGTCTCTGAGCACTTGGAAGCTTGAGTCAATTCTCTTTCAGCAGGGAGCACGACAAGTACCTGAAAGTTAAGCTCTCTCTCATTTTTTTCTTTTTGAAAAAATTATTTTTAATTTTATATGTATGGTTATGCTACATGTATGTATGTCTGTGTATACTATGTATGCCTGGTAGTAGGTCAAAATAAGGTGTCAATCTCCTGGTACTGGAGTTATAATAGACACTTGTCAGGTACCCATTTAGGTGCTGGAAATCAACCTGGGTCCTCTGGAAGAGTAGCCAGCGTTCTTAATTGCTGAGTCATTTCTCTAGTCCTAAACATTTTTTCTTAATTATATTCATTTATAATTGTGTGTGTGTGTGTGTACATGTGCACATGCCATGGCACATGTATGAAGGTCAGAGGACAGTTTGTAGTAGTCAATTCGCTCTTTCTACTATGTGGAGACTGGGGTTCAAACTCAAGTCCCTGGGGTTGGCAGGAAGGGCCTTTACCTGTGGAGCCATCTCAATGGCCCTCAGCCACCTTTGTAGGAGTAAATAGAAGCGGCTATAGTCCCAAAGACTGCATCTGGAAGACTCCATCTTTCAGAGGTTTATAGGGCTGGAGGTCAAATTTCACATTTGTTTTTTTGTTGTTTTGTTTGTGTTTTAAGAACCCAAGGTGGCCTCAACCTCAGCAGGTCGCCCACCTGATCAGGTGTCATGTCGGAACCCTGGGAGTACTAGTTAGGTGTGGTGCTACAGTATACACATGTTAACTGCTTCAAAGGCTGAGGCTAGAGGGTCACTGAAGGCTGCGGGTTTGGAGCTGGCCTGGGCTCACAACCACCTGTAACTTTAGTTCCCCAGGATCTGAGGCCTCCAGCTCTGCAGGGACTTGTACTCACATGCACATACACATGTATGTGCAGAGCCATCCCCCACACTGGCATCTCGTGAGTGCCAGGGCCTGCGCATCTAGCTAGCCTGAGCCCAGGTCAGAGCCGAGGAGCTGAGGAGCATTGAGAACATGGCGGCTGCCCGGGAACAAGCGGGGACCGGGCGCCCTTTTCTAAATATCACCCTTATAGCTCAGTGGTTAAGAGTGATGGCTGCTTTTCCAGAACACATGTGAGTTTGATTCCCAACACCCACACAGTGGTTCACAACCTCTGTAACTCCATTTTCAGGAAATCTGATGTCTATGTACTCTGTGTGTGTGTGTGTGTGTGTGTGTGTGTGTATGTGTGTGTGTGTGTATGTTCCTGTCCATACATGTAAAAGTAAAATCAAAGTATATTTTAAAAGTGCACTGGTCAAAGACAATGATAATCCAAGACAATATGACCTGATTCCTAGGGGTCTGCATAGACAGGGAATGCAAACCACCTACCCTTTCCTTCATCCTTACACTTGGCTTTACTGCCCTATGTGATAGTTGTGGATTGCTGTTTGTATTTTCTGCTCCCTCAAGAGGAGTGCCGGTACTCACGTGAGGTCAGGTGAAATGCTAATTGGTCAGATAAGGCTAGAGCCTGTGATTGGGCAGTGGAAGGAAAAGGCTGAAAGTTTTAGAGAGGGGGAAGAGGAGAAGAGGAGATGGAGGATGGAGGGAGATGGATGAAGATGAACCAGAACCATGTGGCCTGAGGGAGCCATAAGTAACTAGGGATTTCATAGATGGACAATAGAGTCATGTAGGGTACATTTGTCCAGTCTAGGTGTGTAGCTTGTATTTATTTTTTTAATTTATTTATTTTACGTATATATGTACACTGTAGCTGTCTTCAGACACACCAGAAGAGAGCATCGGATCCCATTACAGATGGTTGTGAGCCACCGTGTGGTTGCTGGGAATTAAACTTAAGGACCTCTGGAAGAGCAGTCAGTGCTCTTAACCACTGAGCCATCTCTCCAGCCCATAGCTTGTATTTATATTGTGTTCTTTGTGTGGGCATTTGGGGGCTAGAGATTTATCGCTACAAATCTGGCTGGTATATTACAAGTCTCTAGGGTTATCATTTTACAGGGCTAAGGGGATCTGAGTGAGCAGTAGCTGGCTTTCTGCAGGCTAGCCACAGGGGTGGGTTGCTTGGGAAGACTGGAGGGGCTTGGCAGCAGGCTGGCTAAAGGGACCAGGGCAGACGGCTACTTGGGGCTGGCCGTGGGGGTGAGCAAGACCGCCGATGCCAGTGCTTAGCTGGATTTAGTGTGGATTGTTTTTTAAAATTACACGTTACAGTTAATTTTTATTTAACCTTTCACAGTTTCACACACACACACACACACACACATGTTCATATGGGTGCATGCACTTTGATCATACCCCCCAACACCCCACCTAACCCCTTTCTCCCATGGAGCCCTGCGGATCGCCCTCCCACCCCCACGTCGCCCGTGTATTTAATTAGGAGTGCGTGCAGGAATGAGCACAGGTGAGGGGTGCTGACGGTTTCTCTTGACTGTCAACTTGGCAGTGTCTGGAGTCACCAGAGACAGGCTTCTGGTCCTGGCTTTGAGGGATTATCTAGATTAGGTTAACTGAGGGGGACCCACTCTAAACGCTGGTAGCACCATCCGTGGCCTAGTGTCCTGGACTGAAAGAAAGGGAAATGTCGCCAAGCAGCAGCGTTCACTGCCCTCCGCTCTCTGAGTGTGGGCACTACATGACCATGTGAGTCAAAGGAAGTCCTCCCTGAAGCTGCACTGGTCAGGTAATTTATCACAGCATCAGAGAAGTAACGAACACATACACTTCCACTTATTTATCCTGAAAATAGCAGGGCCAATCTGATTTCTGAAACCAGGTCTGGCCAGGCGGTGGTGGCGCATGCCTTTAATCCCAGCACTTGGGAGGCAGAGGCAGGTGGATTTCTGAGTTTGAGAGTTCGAGGCTAGCCTGGTCTACAGAGTGAGTTCCAGGACAGCCACCAGGGCTACACAGAGAAACCCTGTCTCGAAAAACCAAAAAAAAAAAAAAAAAAAAAAGAAGAAGAAAAAAGAAACCAGGTCTCATGTAGCCCAGGCTGGCCTGGATTATACCACGTAACTGAGGGTGGCCTTGAACTACTGATTTTCCTGCCTCTGTTACCTGTCAATGCATGACCTCATTTGGCTCTTTGCACTTCGTCAGGTGGTTACTATACACCCCTCTCCTGACTCCGGGGTCATGACCGGTTTCCTGTGTTCCAAGCCTAATAAAGCTCCGTGCAACCCTTGGTCTGTCCCTATCTTTTACCTTTCCCCTACTTCCCAAATGTGCCACTGTGTTCCTGGCACAATTGTCGTGCTCAATGTGTGACGCCCACGGCTTGAAAATAAGCTTCCGATTACCAGCAGATGTTCCTATGAATAAATATTCACTCTATTTGTGGAGCTGGCGCTCTGCTGGGGACAGAGTTTCCAGGCGTGCTGTGAGGCATTAATGGTCCTTCCTCACAGTGCTCCTCTCCTGGAGCCGGAGCGTGTGTGTACGTGGAGGGATGCCGGGACCCTGCTTGTAAACCATTCTCCCCATTCCTCCCTGCAAGCTTCCAGCATTTTTTTTTCAGGGTCTCAGCTATTCAAGGCTGGCTTCTAAGTCACTGTGTAGCTGAGGATGACCTGGACTTGTGACCTGACCTCTACCTCCTGAGTGCTAGAATTGTAGCTGTGCAGCACAGTGTTTGGTTTTCGCTAAGGACTGAACATAGGGCCTTATGGATACTAGGCAGGTGCTTTAGCATCTGAGCCACATTCCTAGCTCCAACCCCTTTTGAGACAGGGTTCTACTGTGTCACCTTGGCTTACCTGGATTTCTCTATGTAGACCCGGTTGGCCTTGAACTCACAATAGATCTTTCTGCCTCTGCCTCCCAGAGTACTCGGATTAAATGTGGGCTACCATACTTAGTTACCCCTCCCCCTTCTTCTTAAAAAGGGGTCTCCTGGGCTGGAGAGACGGCTCAGTGGTTAAGAGCACTGTCTGCTCTTCCAGAGGTTCTGACTTCAATCCCCAGGAATCACACGGTGGCTCACAACCATCTGTAATGGGATCCGATGCCCTCTTCTGGTGTGCTGGTATACATGCAGCTAGAATACTCATACACATAAAATTTTAAAAAATCCTTTAAAAAAAAAGTAGTTATACAAATCAAATGTTTACTGTTAATAGATAAATAAATAAATAAATGGGTCTCCTGTATCCCAGGGTGGCTTTGAGCTTGCTGTGAAACTTAGGATGACCTTGAATTTATAAGTATGTCCTAACATGTCAGGTCCTGGGGACCTCTAATATAAATTATATTGGTAAGCTGTCATGTGCTGTTTGTGCTTGTTGACAGCTGACTCTTGAGAACAAGAGTTCCCTGACTCAGACTCCAGCCTGTTTATCTCAGGTGTTCTGGGCCAGGCTGGCCCCCTAGTCCTGTAAGAGGGAGGAAGGAGAACAGCTCATAACTGAGAGCATTAAAGACACTGCCATTGAGACCAACTAGCAGGAAAACCATTTCCAACAGAGGTCACTCTTGTTTCCTCATAAAACCACCTGCAGTGGGAAGGAGACGCTGGAGAAACTGCCCTGCTTGGCCCAGGACTCTCTCCGTCTGGCATGCAGCATGACTATTTAGGTAGGGTTCCCCCATTTCTGCTGGACGGGGTAACTGTCTGATTTGATGAACACGCTCATCTGTTACCTGATATTTATCCTTCCACCTAAGCTTGTTATATCCTTAATAAACTCACTCATTTAAAACTGGGACTATGTGGCCACAGATCATTCTCTGGATAGAACGGAATTGAACACAGGGCTTTGTGCACGGTAGGCAAGCCCTCTACCAACTGAGCTGCGTCTCAGACCCAAGGCTCTAATGTTGATTTCTGTTATCACACAAGACTTCCCACTTACAACTTTTCTGTACATTTGAAATTTCATAAAAATAGCTACTTGTCATATATGGTGGGGTGGCTCACACATGTGATCTTACCACCAGGGAAGTTGAAGCAGGAGGATCACTGTGTATTTAAGACAATCTGAGCTACCCAGTGAGTTCCAAGAGGCCTGGACAACAGAGGGAAATGCTGACTCAAAAATTAAGAACAAAACAAAGCAAAATAGGGGGCTGGAGAAGTGGCTCGGTGGTTAAGAGCACTGGCTGGTCTTGCAAAGGACTGGAGTCTGGTTCCAGCACCCATGTCAGGCAGCTCACAACCACCTCTGGGGGATCCTATGCCTTTTCTGGGCTCCACGGGTACCTGCATGCATGTGCACATACACACATATACACACAAGTAAAAATAAAAATCTTTTTAATGATTTGTATGTGCTTTGGTGTTTTGAATGCATGTATGTTTATGTGAGGGTGTCAAATCTTGGAAGTGGATTACAGACAGTTACAAGCTGCCAGTGGGTGCTGGGAATCAAACCCAGGTCCTCTAGAAGAGCAGTCAATGCTCTTAACTTCTGAGCCATCTCTCCAGCCCCAAATAAAAATAAAATCTTAAAAACAAAAAAGCAAAATAAAAACAAGAGTATACACACCCCCCACACACACACACACATGCACACACAAACTCGACATGACTGAATCTCGTAAGTCCAGTCACCCTTCCTGGCTCCTATCTGCTGTGAAATCCTCTGAAAAACACGTCTTCATTTACTGTCTCAATTTATTCCCCCCACTCTACTCCCTTTTAAACTTAAGTCAGGGCTCTTTGTCTCTAACATCCACTGAAAATGTCCCAGTTGTGGTCCCCAGTGACAGCCCAGCATCCATAGGTCTGACGTTCCTACCAGCCAGCCCCATCTGGCCCAGGTCAAGGCCAACACTATATCTGCTTCCCTGTGGTTTCTGGGGTATTTCTGTCTCTTGGACTCGTGCCTTTCCCCCCTCCTCTCCTGTCATGTAATGATGGAAGCCTTCTCACTTGTTCCAGGCTATCTCACCGCACCTTCAAGACTGAGAGCATGGTGTCCACCTCTGACCAGTTCTTGGAATTGCCTGCAGGGATTCTTACAACACAGGTTTTTGGGATCCACAGAGGGTATTCGAGGGGCACAGAAATGGCTACCTCTCTATCATCATCCTTTTCTTCTCCCCTTCTGTCTCTTTCTCATTCCCTCCCCCATCTCCTTTCTCCGTTTTTCCTTTTTTTCTCTTTCTAGCTATATAGCCTAGGCTTGCCTTGAACTTGATACACAGCCCAGGCTGGTGTGCACCTCACTAGAGGTATTTATTCTATGGTAGTACTACAGAATGAACACAGTACCCCGAGCCTGCTCGGTAAGTGTCCTTTCACAGTCACCATGGGAGGCCCTGCAGGGACTATGGTCATGTGCCACCATACCAAGCTCAGAACGTGCACTTATTTTTATTTAACTTTTTTATGTGTACGGTGGTTTGCTTGCATGCATGTCTGTGTACCACATGGATGCCTGGTTCTTGAGGAGAACAGAAGAGAGTGTCAGATGCCCTGGAATTGGAGGCACATAACATTATGAAACATCATGAGGGTGCTGGGAATTAAACCTGGGCTCTCTAGAAGAGCAGTCAGTGTTCTTAACCACTAAGCTACCTCTCTAGCCCCTAATTTTTCTTTATGGTACCTCTTTTATTTTTTTGTGACAGAACCTTACTATATAGCTTAGCTGACCTATACGTAGTCCATGCTGCCTCAGAGCATGGACTTGCCTCTGCCTTCTGAGTGCTGGAATTAAAGGTATAAACCACCATGTCTCTTTTTTTCCCTAGTTGTCTTTAGTTTAAAAAAAAAATCACTGACTTCCTCCTTGCCCTAAATCCTAACCCTATGTCCACTGCATCAAACTCAGGCTGCTCTTGTCTGTCTACCCTGTGTCCTCCAAACCCAGGCTGCTCCTGTCTGTCTACCCTATGTCCTCCAAACCCAGGCTGCTCCTGTCTGTCTACCCTATGTCCTCCAAACCCAGGCTGCTCCTGTCTGTCTACCCTGTGTCCTCCAAACCCAGGCTGCTCCTGTCTGTCTACCCTATGTCCTCCAAACCCAGGCTGTTCCCATTCTCTAAGAGCCACCCACGAGTCTATTTTATTTCATCGCTCTGTTCCAACCTGCTGCTCCACAGCTTGGATGATCACGAGGGACTTCCTTAGAAACTGTTCTTCACCTAGCAACTGGTAAGAGCCCTGTGATGCGGCAGGTCACTGTGCTGTTCCAAGCTTTGAGCAGTTGCATTTGATGTAATACAGGGACAAACCTGGAACCCTGCTCTCTGGCCTGCTTCCTTGGTGACCTCTTCTAACAGCTTGTGCCATGTTCCTTCTACTCATTCCCAGCATGCCCCCTTTCTTGTGACCTTTGCCCTCCTGCACCCTCTGGAACACCTGGCACCCCAGATATACTGAGTGAGCGAACAGTCATAATGGTTAATGTTGACAAATGGCCAGTGTCTGGAATCGCCTGGGATGTGGGCCTTTGGGCATGCTAACAACAGATGATCTTGACTATGTTGTTGATAAGGAGACGCACATCTTAATTGAGGGCAGGACCATTCGATGGGCAGGGAATCTAGAACCATATGAAATGGACAAAGCAGCTGTACACTTAACACTCCTGCAGTTACTGCTTTGTTTCTTGACTGTGGTACAATGAGACCAGCTGCCTCCCAGGCTCCAGCTGCTGTGACTCTCTGGCACTCATGTCCTGTAGCCTCAAACTGTGTGCAAAACCAAACTCTTCTTTCCTCACTAGCTTTACCACAATAACAGAAAAGAAGTGAAAATAGGACTGTATGATTTCCATCTTACAGGTAAGGAAATCAAAGTTCTGAGAGATTCATGAATTTGCTAAAGACCAGCCGTTAGTGAATGGCAGAGCATGGAGAAGCCATTCCTAGCTCATCTCCACCGTCCAGACACAGAACTGTGCAGTCCTGGCTGCTCAGGTCCTCAGTCCACAGCCTTCCCCTTTATCTTCCCGCCAGAACCTTACCTGGATATGGTGATGAGACAGGCGGAAGATCTCCTGGGCCATCAGCAAAGTCTTTGAGTCCATGACTAGGTACAGTAGGTGCAGGAGGGCCAGGAAGCCTGCCCCCCTGAGGTCAGTGGCTGGGTTTGCTCCTGTGGCAGAAAGCAAGGTGTAACAATGAGTGAGAAAGCTGTCCTGGTCCCTTGAGCTCCCAGGACATAGCTGGAACACTGCTCTGACACTAGTTCTGCTGGGTTAGAGGAGGATGAGAACCCTGCACATGTCCACTTCTGGACACAGCCCCAAGGGGCTCTAGGGGACCAAATATGTCCATGCAGCACTCAGGAGTGCTCTGGCAACAGTTTTCTCCTGTTCCCACGGCCTTCTATAGTCACTTTCCCACACAATACCAGCACAATCTTTACAAAGACAGGGGCTGGGGTGTAGCTTAGCAGGCAGTGTGTTCGTCCACCATACACGAGGCCCTAGGTGCCATCCCCAGCACATTATAAACTGGGCATCTTTGTCAACATGCAGGTCTAACCAGCACTTGGGAGGTAGAGGCAGGAGGATGAGACATTTAAGGTCATCGTTGTCTCATAGCCAAGTTCAAGGACAGCAGACAGATAAAAGAGGAAATTCTCCAACTGACACAGGCCTGCCCTTTCCCCTGTATCTCCACCATGTTATAACACTGTAAGAAGGCCCTCAACTCATGTTGAAGAGATTTTGGAGCCATGCTCTTAGACACCACAGCCATCAGAATCATGAGCCAAATAAGCTGCTATTTTCTATACATTACCCAGTTGAAGTATTTTGTGATAGCAACGGAAAACAGACTAGAGCAGACCACAAAGGTTCCAGAAAAGCGGGCTCTCTAGCCAAACAGCAGTTAGGAGGAGGGCAGCCCAGTGAGACATACCCAACTTAGATAATATCCAACCTATTCCAACCCAACACCGCAGAGATGCACGTGGTCCCACTCCTCCTCCTCCTCTTCCTCCTCCTCTTCCTCTTCCTCCTCCTCCTTTTCCTCCTCCTCCTCTTCCTCTTCCTCTTCTACTTCCTCTTCTTTCTCCCCCTCTTCTTCCTCCTCCTCTTCCTTCTCAGTGAAAGTTCTGATGGTCAGAATAATCCCTACTTCCAAAGATGACCACACTCTGAACCTCAGAATCTAGGAACACAGCACACAGCAAGGGAGATGAAGATAAGGTAAAACCCAGGGTGCCACCAGCAGAGAGGGGTGTGTTTAGGGGGTATCTGGGTGGGCTCGGTGCAGAAGAGAGGAAAGAAGAAGGAGGTAGAAACACACAGCTAGAGAAAGATGTGAGGATGGAGCAAGCTTGGGGATTCTACTACTGGCCATGTCGATAGAGGTCTGCAGGAAGTTTCTAGAAGCTCAAAAGTTAAGGACATAGATTTTCTCCTAGATCCTCCACAAGTGAGATCAGCACTGCTGGCACCCTGGTCCTCTCACCGAGCCCTGTGTCAGACTTGGCTACAGACTAGAGGATAACAGTGGGCTGCTTGTTCTACATCACTCTTTTGTCTCACAGGGTTGCATGGAGTCCAGGCTGGCCTCTAACCTGCTATGCAGCTGAGTGTGCATGTGTGTGAGACCACGCCATTTTATGGGATGCTGGGGCTAGGATGCTGGGCTGTATGCATGCTAGGTGAGCGCTCTAACTACTAAGCTACAGCTCCTAGTCAAATTCGTGGAAATCTGTTACAACTGTAGAAAAGTATGGCAGCCCTGGCTGACATGGAACTTGCTCTGTAGAACAGGCTGGCCTCAAAGTCACAAAGATCTGCCTGCTTCTGCCTCCTGCGTGATGGGATTAAAGGTGTGTACAGCTGTGTCCTGTAATACAGCTACTATTTACAAATGTAGTGATAGGATTTGGGGAAGGAGCGTAGGCTGAGGATGCAGCTCAGTGGGCAGACTGCTTACCAGGCATGTGGCAAAGGCCTGGCTGGAGGTCCAGTACCACACACACTGGGTAGGACTACCAGCTAGGGAGTCGGAAGGAAGAGGATCAGAAATTCAAGGTCATGATCGATCAGCTATATAGTGAGTCTGAGGCCAGCCTGGGCTATCTGAAACCCTGCCCCTCTACACACGCACACAGACACACACAGACACACACACACACACAAACGCACACACACACACACCGGCCAAAAAAGTATAATCCTAAAACAAGTAAAATAACTGTTCCAATTTAAGATAACTGTATTTTTCTTTTGTTTTCTTTTCTTTTCTTTTCTTTTTTTTTTTTTTTTGGTTTTTCGAGACAGGGTTTCTCTGTATAGCCCTGTCTGTCCTGGAACTCACTCTGTAGACCAGGCTGGCCTCAAACTCAGAAATCCACCTGCCTCTGCCTCCCAAGTGCTGGGATTAAAGGCGTGCGCCACCACTGCTCAGCTGTAGTTTTCATTTTAAAAGAAGAAAGAACACAAGATTCAAATGACATCACTGCCATGTGTGCCACTTAAGTGCTTCCTGACAGATGGCAGAGCTCCAAGTGACAGGTTCTCCATCCCTCCCTTCTTCTCCTCAGCCATCTGCGGCACACTTCCGTGTGCCACTCCTGAGGCCCTTGAGTCTTCTGTACCCTCCTAGATGTCCCTCCTCACTCAAGATGGCCTCTCCCTCTGGAACCAATCAGACAAGGAAAGAAACATGGGTGCTTTTCTCTCACCCTGGAAGCCCAGGTCTTCCCAGTGGTCTCCGTGAAGGGCACAGTCGAACTTGGAGCCAGTCAGCTTCTTGTAGATGGTCTGGAGCACTCGGCCATGCGTTGGGTTTTGGCTGTCCAGGCCACCTGCCCCAAAACACATGCACACTTTCTACCAGGCTGTTCCCAGGGAGAAACCAATGCTTCCCGGAGGATGGGACACTGAACGGTGTCAAGGCATGCTACTATCCTTCTTGTTCTCATGGCAACTGGAACGGACAAGAGCCTGAGCATGTGCCCTGGGCTGCCCTTAGCACTCACACTGAGCAATGGTGAGAACCAAGTCTCTTTCTTCCCGAAGACCCTGGTGCAGCTTTGGAGGTCCAAAGAGGCAATGCCGGAGGGCAGCGAGCCCAGTCCTTTGAATAGTTGGTTGGATTCTTTTCTGAGAAGGAAATAATAGACAATCTGCTCAAACTTTTATCAACCAGTGACTGTCTATCAGCTAGTGTTTGGACCTGGAGGAGGAGCCAGGAGGAACACTGAGAGCCAGGGATTCCCAGCTCCCAGATTCTTTGCAGGATGTCCTTAGGGGGAGGCATTCCCAGCATGTGGTCTCCTGAGCTTTTTTAGAACTAGCTATTGACTGACCAGTGAGGCTCAGCTGTGTCCGCATGACCATGTCACGCCTGATATGGTCAGGGAAAAGCCAGGTGTCTACCCTTCATATGGCTCGCTGTTTCTCTGAGGATATGAATTCTAGAATTCCACTCCTCCCCACCTCCACTGATGCTAGGACCACTGGGCACTCATGGTCCACTGGGTCAGATGTCCCTCCTAAACTACATCATGCTGGCTTCCCAAAGCCAGGGTCACTGCTGCCTGCCTTACAAGGTTCTGGGTGTTGGCATCTACTGGTCTTCTGTATCAGTTTTTGTCTGTTTACCCTCCCTGATGATCTTGGCTTTAGATGAATACCTGAAGCCACATTCTGCTAAACTTACTAGAGGTCACTCAAGACACCCCACCAAAGCCCTCAGTCTGCTTACTTCCAAAGACTCCTTTCCCCAACCCCCAACCCCACTTTATTATTTGTGCGTATGTGTGTGTGTGTGTGTGTGTGTGTGTGTGTGTGTGTGTGTGTGTAAGTCAGAGGGTGCTGTGGTGTCAGCTCCACCTTTACATGGGTTCTGGGGACTGAACTCAGGTCACTGGGCTTGTATGGCAAAAGCCTTTACCCACTGTGTGCTTCTCCATACAACTTTCTGAGACAAGGTATTTCCATGTAGCCCAGGCTGGCCTTGAACTTACCATCTTTCTTCCTCAGCCTCCTGAGTGCTAGAATTATATATGTGTGCCATCATACTTAGTATCCACACCTTTATTTTAAAAATTATTTTATGTGCATGAATGCTGAGCCTTACTGGTAGTCAACAGCTAGGTTTTTTTGTTTTTGTTTTTTGTTTTTGTTTGTTTGTTTGTTTGGTTTTTTGAGACAGGGTTTCTCTGTGTAGCCCTGGCTGTCCTGAAACTCACTCTGTAGACCAGGCTAGCCTTGAACTCAGAAATCCACCTGCCTCTGCCTCCCAAGTGCTGGGATTAAAGGTGTGTGCCACCACCACCCGGTACAACAACTAGTTCTGAAAAAGCCCCAATGTATGTCTGTACACCATGAGCATGCCTGGTGCCTGGGGTGGGGAGAAGAGGGTGTAGAATCCCTGGCACGGGAATAATGGGTGGTGAGCTGACATGTAGGTGCTGGGATAGCAAACCCAGGTCCTCTGCAAAAGCACGTGCTCTTAACTGCTAAGACATCTATCTCTCCAGCCCTCAGCGTGTTTCCTACATTTCTAAATTATATTGTGTAGGGGTGTATTTCCTGATACATTAAACTTGGTATTTTGGGAGGAGCTAATGTGGGAGGAGTAAGGAGAGGAGAAGGAAGAGGAGGAGCTAGCAGAGAGAGGACGGGGAGAGGGGAAAATGGTGGCGGATGTATGCGTGTCTCTAGCAGTTTAAGGTAGTTTAAGGTAGTTAGGTATTGTGTAACACCTCTAATTGTGTGGGCGTCTTGCTATTTGAGCATTACCAAATATATAAAGCTATTGGATAATCTTTAAACATTAGAGTCTCATTTCTACCGGGTACCTCGTGGATGGCGGGATGGTCTGGGCTCAGCCCAGCCTTGTGGAGACAGTGTGGTAGATTGGCAGAGCAGTCTCCCACAATGGCGTCTCATGGGTGACAGGGCTGGTGTTTCTGGCTGGCTGTTTCTAACTGTGGTGTGCCCGTGGCCTCTGGCCACTTCCAGCTGTGGAGCGCTTGGCTTCAGGCCACAGAGCATGGTGTCCTGCGCTAAGTAGAGCCACTGTCACTTAGATAGTCAGCCCAAGAAAATGCCGATATAAATATTAACCCTAACAATATTGGGTATGGCAGTGCCTGCTTATAATGCCAATTCTTGAAAAGCTGAGGCAGAAGAATTGTCTTGAGTTTATCACCAGCCCTGGCAACATAGTAAACTTCAGTTCAGCCAGGACTGCATAATGAGATTCTGCTTCAAAAATAAATAAATTTAATTAAATTTACAAATGGCTTCTGGCTCCAACAGAGAACCTCCTTCCATTTGCCATGACTTGATAGTACCCTGCTTCCCAGACAGTCTGTCTTGCTTCCCCAAGAGTTACTTGGACTTTAACTCCATACTTCCCACCTCGAAGAGGGAAAAACATGGGGTATTTGCACCTGGTCTGAATCCCAGGACTGAATCCCAGGATTTCCTCAGGCTCCGTTCCGCCAAGGTTAGCAGGGCCCTACATGAACCAGGGTTCTCAGAGTTCGCTCATGGGTTAAGAGCACTTGTTCTTCCAAAAGATCTGGGTTCAGTTGTCAGCACTGACACCACATCAAGTGGTTCTGAAACCATCTGTAACTCCAGTTCCAGAGGAGACAACACCCTCTGACCATCACAAGGCACCTACATACACTTAGCTTGGAGCACATTTTGTAGCTGGCCTAAGATTGCATGGGGAAATCTTCTTGCCTTAGTCTCTGTAATGCTGGGATTAGAGGTGTGATCCACCAAAGCTGGTTCTTTGGCTATCTGAGATCCTGTACCTCAAGATTCCTTAGGTGAGAAAGGGTCCAGTGTCCACCGAGCTGAGGAAGTATTCTTCCTGCAGCCATACCTTGTAAGAGGAAAGGTCCACAGTCTGGAAGTGCTCCAGGGCCTCGCTGAAGGAGATGAGCTGGCCCGGCTGCTGGGAGCTGACCCCACTCTCTAGGTAAAAGAGAAGACACAAAAGGATTTGGGATAGCAAACACTGTCCTATTAGCAAACATCCATTGGTTGTCACCTCTAAAACAAGCACTGGCTACTAGCTTGTCACCAACAATGTAGGTGGTGGCTGGTATCAGTCACTGTGACATCTCCCATTAGCTTGGTGAAGTTTTCGTGAGAACCAGATAGCCTCTAGTCTCCGTCTAAATTTGTTAGAAATGGACCTGAAACAATTGTCCCCAGCCTTCAGAGACTGCCATTAGGTGTCTTCTGTAGGGGCCCTCATTGCCCCAGTGGGGTCTCCATCCTTGTCCCCCTTCAGGGACTGACCCTGACAATGCTCTCTTGACCTCTCTTGGCATTGGGTGGAGGATGGACAGCAATGGCAGCCTTGCCCTGTGGTGTTCCTTCTCTTCTTCATGTAGTAGTATGTCCTTTTAGGATTTGTGGATAAGATTCTATTTAATGTCAAATATCTAGAATGAGAACATTCGAGGACTTGTATCCTAGTCCCAGTCACAGGTGCGCTGGCTGGTCTGGCTTCTGCTGGTAGCTGTGCAGGACAGCACCATTTCCACACTTACCTCCGTCTGGATGGATGGTGTCCACCACTTCCCACTCTTCCTGGGCTCTGAGCATTTCTGCACTCACAACTGCAATGAGAAAAGGAGCCCCCCGTGAGCTCTGGGTCTGAGGTCCTGTCACCCAGCCCCTCCCCCACCGCAGCTGTCCTTCCAGGTCCAGTGGCCTTCAAGAGGTGGCAAGGATTAATTACATCAGGTTATCATGTCTGAATCCTGGTGGCTTCTTTGGAGAAACCAGGAAGGACACAGGAAACACTTTGACAAAACCAGAGAAAACACGTACAAGGAGTCCATAGGACTCTCCTAGGCAGCCTTAGTCCAGAGGCAGACAGTAATGGAAGATCAAGTGGTCCAGAGGAAGCTGAAGACATACTCATCAGGTTTCTGGGCTTAGGATGTGACTCAGCTGGAAAAGTGCTTGCCTAATATACATAAATCCCTTGGTTCAACCCGATCTGTATACACCAGGCATGGTGTGCATGCCTGGGATCCTAGCATTTGAGAGGTAGAGAATCAGAAGGCTGCAGGGGATATAGGAGACCCTGTCCTTAAAATACTAATAAAATAAAAATAAATAACCCTTTCTTTATTATTTATGTATATGCCTACGTGTGTGCATGCACACATACATGTAGGTATCGGTAGTGGACAAAGCAAGTGTTGGAATCCCTGAAGCTGCAGTAATAGGTAGGTATGAACCAGCTCAACTCTAGTTCTTGGAAACAGCAACAATCACCATTAACCACTGAGCCATCCCTGCAGTCTCCAAATTTAAAATAACAATAATTAAGTAATGTATCTTCATTTTAAACAAAAGTCTGGTGTGTTAGCTTTTTCCAGGAAATAGTTGCAGAAAGGTAAAAGTATTTTAATTTTGGGAATTGCAACATGGCTGAAGAAAAGGTGTGCCAGCTACAGTAGCTCAAACCGTTAATCCCAGCACTGGGAGGCAGACACAGACGAATCTCTGTGAGTTCATGCATGGCCAGCTTCATTTACAAAGTGAGTTTCAGGTTAGCCTGAGCTACACCTTGTTTCAAAAGAAATAAAGGAAGGAAAGAAGGACCCACTCTACAAAAAATAAAGGAAAAACAAGGGAGGAGCTTCTCAAGTTGCTCCGTGCAGAGCATAGGATACTGCAATGTCATCTCCGCTGCACTGAATCTTTCCCAACAGAAACCACTGCTGTGACCAGAAAGCTGGCAAGCCCTTCATAAGGTTTTGTTTAGATGGTTGGTTTTTGTTGTTGAGACAGAATATCCGTCTGTAGTCCAGACTGGCCTCGAACTCAAGAGCTTTTCCTGCCTCAGCCTGCAGCAGCAGGAGCCACGCCCACCACAGCCAACTGCAGGGGCACTTACCATCTCTCCCCTAATCATAGCTTTAAACTACTCCCTGGTCTCCTCTGCAGGAGGCCTGGGTGCTGCTGTCACAGGAAAAGCACTGGGTCAGAGATCTGCTTAGAGTACATGCAAGGCCGTGCATAGTGGGCCCTTAGTCCCAGCACGCTGGAGGCACAAGTAGGGGGAATCTGAGTTCAAACCCACCCTTGTCTACAGAGTACTACCAGGGGAGCTACATCTGTAGCCCACTTCATCCTTGCATGTTACATGTGTTTATTTATTCATCGACATGGTCTCTCCTATGCAGCCCTGGCTGGTCTGGAACTTTCTATGTAAAACAGGCTATCTTCAAACTTGTGCAATCTTCCTACCTTGCCTCCGGAGCACTGGTACACTCGAGGTGTGGCCACCTCGCCTGGCACGCTACTGTCATTTAATATGACCTCCGTTAGCCTGATTCTTTTGTATTGTCCTTTTCGATTTTACAAACCAAATGCTTCAGACCGTAAATTAGAAGACAAGCCACAAAATTGAAGAATAAGTAGATAGAGTGCCAAAGTATTTAATAACTATAATCAAACTTGCTCCAGCTTTCATAAAAGAATTTTACTTGGGTAAAATGTGCCCATTCTGGTGTGACGTAGGTAACTGCAATACCTAGTAGTGTTTGAAAAGTTCTTTTAAATTATTTATTTATTATTATAGGATGTGTGTCTGTGTTTGTGTAGCACATGTATACAATGGCACACATATAGAGGTCAAAAGACAACTTTTGGAAGTCGGTTCTCTCCTTTGGCCTTTATGTGGGTTCTGGGACTTGAACTCTGGTCACTGGCTTACACAGCAAGTCCTTTCTCCTGCCAGCCCAGAGCTCATATTCGGCTCTGGAGTACTAGGATATCTTGACCCACTAGATGTGAGTGAAATATGCATGTGTACAGACTGCTGGTTTCATGTTTGTGTCACCTTTGTAAATGTATCACTATCGAATGCCCTTCGACAAATGGCTAAGTAATCCCATATTACAAAGCGGACACCATGCGAACCAGAAGAGTCCTGACACAAAACTCTGTATGCTATGGCCACTTTTGTATAATAAGGACAGTTTAAACTCTTGGATTTGTAGACTATCAGCCTGAAGTCAGGCAGGCATGGTGGTTCACATCTGTAACCCCAGCACTCAGGAAAACTACTGTGAGTTGAGAGATAGCCTGGGCTACAGTGAGACCTTGCTTTCAAAATTAGTAACAGCAATGGGGAAATTTTTTATAACAAAAAGATTGAGAAGAATCTGAGCAAGTCATTGCTCAGGCTGCCGTAGAATCAAACTTTCAGTTTAGCAGGAGGACACTTGACTTTCAGTGACCTTGGGTAAACTGGGCCTGTGGCTTGGGTGTATCTTTTGTACTCTCCAGAAGACTTGACTTTGGCTTTTATGATAATTACAGTTTATACTACTTTTAAAAAATGCCGGGCATGATGGTGCACATCTTTAATCCTGGCACTTGGAAGACGGAGGCAGGCTGAGCTCGGTGAGTTCAAGGGCAGCCTGGTCTACATAGTAAGACTGTGCCTCAAAATAAAACAGGAAGGAGGAGCCAGAAGGGACACTTCAAATGTTCCCTCTCTTTTGTCGGTGATACCCTGCACCAGTCTAAGACTCCAACTTAGACTGGACACCACACGCAGCCCCTTGACCTTGAGAAGGACTGAACTTCAGTGAACCTCAGGTTGTCTGTTTCTTTGTGTCTTAGGTAGGGTCTCATGCTGGGTGGTCTTGAACTCACTATCTAGTCAAGAATAACCCTGAACTCCTGATCTTTCTACCTCTACCTCCCAAGTGCTGGAAACACAGGCATGTGCCACCATGCTTGCTCACACCTCTGTTCCACATAAGATTTCCCAGCCTCTGGTACTCTGTTGCAGTAACGAAAACTGCATTGATACAACAGACTTGCAGGTTAAATAAAGCACCATCAAATGCTGATGACAACTGGGCAAAAATCGGCTGGAAGAGGAGGGCAGGGTTCATCTCTGCTGCTCGCTAGCTGCATTTTTGGCCAAATTAATCATCTCTGAGTTCTCATGGGATTGCTGTAAGTGTGAAGCAATCCTGTAACTTCTAAGACGGGTAAGTGGCCCAGGGGTAAGAGTTCAACAAGTGTTCACTGTATTGACACAACACGGTCCGGACCAGCAAGTCAGAGGGATGGCGGGGAACTGATTCAGGCCTCAACCTGATCTAGCTGCTAGGGAGTTCCACCTTGCTACTGCCAGCCTTGGGGCAGCAGACACAGAGACTCAGCTGTCTAATGTCAACAGAACTTGGTCTTGCATGAGTAGAGAAACAAAGTCTAACCTTTAGCACACAAGACTGTGGGAGATAAAAATGAGGGACAGAGTGGCTGAACAAAAAGAGAAGAATGAGGAGTTGTGTGTTTGGCTCAGAGCATCTGCATAGCAAGCAAGAGCCAGGCTGTGGGTTTGGTCCTCAGCTCCCCTCCAAGAAAGGAAAGCCTGGAGAGAGGGCGTAGCAGCTAAGAGCACCTGCTGGTCTTCCAAAGGATCTGTGTTTGGTTCCCAGCACCCATACTGGCAGCAGAAAGACACTAGTAACTCCAGCTTCAAAGCATCCAACATCCTCTTCTGGCCTTGACAGGCACTGGGTGACATTCACTGATGTGGGCACGCACATATGCATAACAAGTAATTCTTTTAAAAAGAGAGAGAGTGAGCCATAGGGCTCACTCCTGTAATCCCAGCATTAAGGAGGCAGAGGCAGGAGGATCGCGGCAAGTTCAAGGTCAACCTGATCTACAGAGTGAGCTCCAGGACAGACAAGGCTACACAAAAACCAGAAAACAAAACCAAGTGAGAAGTATGGACCAGCAGCAGGAAGACTGGTGGGGCTGAGCACATCTGCCTTTCTCCTTTTGACTCTGCTCTCCAAGAAGCTTTATCATCAATAGACCTATCTCTAATCCTGTGACCTTTTACCTACAAGCAATCTGACCATGTCTGTGAGCCAGGAGCAGAAGAAACCTTGGCCACAGGGGAGGGCCATTACAACAGTTAAGCAACAGAAAGTTCAAAGGTCTGAGTTAGCCTTATCCAGCTGGTGTCTAAGAAAGGACTAAATTGTATGCACTGTCCCTGACTGACCCTGTCCTTTTGGAGCCAGGCTGACCTTCCTGGCTAGATCTGAAGACAATCCTAAAATGGGACCCACAGGAAGATGAGAGAGAGAGAAAGAGAGAGAGAGAGAGAGAGAGAGAGAGAGAGAGAGAATGAATAAAAAGCAAATTATCTCTAGAATAACTAATGCAGCTTACATTTTTCTTTTTCTTTCTTTTATTATTTAGTTGACTTGATTTTTTTTGGCCTCTCCCATTCATCCATCAAACAGCACTGATTCAGTCATTCTGTAAACAGAAATTAGCTAAAAGCATTACTTTTTATTTGTTTGTTTGTTTGAGACAGCACTTGGGAGGCAGAAGTAGGTAGGTCTCTGAGTTCCAGGCCAGCCTGGTGTACAGAGCTACTTCTAGGACAGCCAGCTACACAGAGAAACCCTGTCTCAAAGCAAAACAAAAGGTTTAAAATTCCATTTATTTTTTATGTGTGAGAGTGCCCATCCCACAGTACACATGTGGAGATCAAAGGACAAATTCTCTTCTACCATGCAGGTCCTGGGAAGCTAACTCAGGCGTGGCAGCAATAATATATATATATATATATATATATATATATATATATATATATATATATATTCTTTTATTTACTTGTGTGTGTGTATTTCAAAACACCAAACAACATAGGGCCCCTGGGCAAACTGGGCCTAAGTGCTCTACTACCGAGCTACATTCCCTGTATTGTGTAGCATTTAGAGATAGAAAATATATACTACTGAGGGGCTAGAGGGACGGCTCAGTAAAGAGCACTGGCTCTTTTCTAGAGGGCCCGGTTTGACTTGCAGAACCCACAGAGCAGCTCACCACTGTCTGTAACTCCAGTTCCAGGGATCTGATGTCTACTTCTTCCCTCTGCAGGTACTGAATGAAAGTGGTGCACAGACACACGCAGTCAAAACACCCACACATAAAATAAAAACAAAGACATCTTCTTAAGAAACATACAAAAAGGTGTATGTGATTGGGTGCTCACTACAGAGTATACTGTTGTGTGAGCCGTGCTATTTCATTTAATCCTTACCGGGTTTGCTGGCCCAGGTCCTACTGTGAGCAATTACTACTCCGGCTGTGGCCGCCCCTTCTCGGTGCTTGGACTGGGATCCAGAGCAAGCACAGGCCAGGCCAGCATTCTACTACTGTCCCCAGCCCCTGCCTATCTTTATTTTCTAGCAGAACAGAGGATGACTAGAAAGGTTAAGCTACGTGTTCAAAGCCACATACGTAAGGGAGCCAGAGTTCAAACCAGAGGATATATTTCCAAGATCCTTCTGAATATAAGAATATCTTTCATTAAAATACACTAGCAAGCACATGACCTGAGTTGAAAGTATGGTGCTGGAAGACACCTTGCAAAGAGCAGAGTGGAGATTCCTGGGGCCTCTCACTTGTATTGCTTCAAACTCTTTTGTTTGTTTTGTTTTTTAAGACAGGGATTCTCTATGTAATAGCCCTGGAACTAGATTTGTAGACCAGGCTGGTCTTCAGGCTGGTCTTGAACTCACAGAGATCCACCTGCCTCTGCTTCCCCAGTCCCAGCCTGTGCGGCCTCATTTTCACACTGTCCGTGATGATGAGACATGTTCATATTTCCACTGCTGGGTCAGTGGAATGGCTTGGTGCTTCCAAGGCAGATGACCTGAGTTCATCCCTGGGATCTGCATGGTAGAAGGAGGCTGACTCCAACAAGTCGTCCTCTGACTGGCCCATACACCTCCCCATCAATAAATAAATAATAGATAGATAGATAGATAGATAGATAGATAGACAGACAGATATAATTTTGAAATTTTCACTGTAATCAGACATTACATGGCTTGCCCAGAAGCACACAGCAAACCACCAACAGATAACCTAGCTCCTAACCCAGGGTTGCTTCTAATTTTTGATGGGGAATGATAAACCTACAAACTTCTGAAAGAGAGAGTGAGAGCAAGACTGATTCAGACACGGAAAGTGGATTCTTGGAGGCTCTGACCTGGGTCTCACCCAAACCCTCAGGGCCCTCAGGGGTAGTTACCGCCTGGCTGCCATCCATTACTTTCTGCAGTCAACGCCTGGAGAATGCCATGGTTCTTCAGCTCTGAGATCTGTAGGGGCAGATGGTGTTTAGTGAGGGTAGGATCCATGTCTCCCCATGCACAACTCTTCCCACCCACTGTGTACGAAACATCTGGAAATTTGAGGCTGGAAGACTATATTCTGATGGACTGATTAAAAAAAAAAAAGTGCGTGTACGAGCACAGACTCATGTAGGCCAGAGGTCAACCTTGGGTGTTCTCAGGGGATTTCCACTTTGCATTTTGCAACAGGGGCTCTCACTGGGACCTGGGGCTCCCTGATCTGCCTAGACTAGCTGCCCACAGAGTCCCAAGACTCGTCTGCCTCTGCTTCCTCAGCACTAGGATTAGCACACACCACCATGACTAGCTTTACGTGCATTCTAGAGATCAAAGCCTCATGCTGACTGAGCTAGTTCCTCAGTCCGTGTGTGTGTATGTGTGTGTGTGCGTGTTTGTGTGTGTGTGTGCACGCATGCATGCATACATGTGCACATGCTGGGGACTGATTCAGAGCCCAGTGCATACTGAGCACACATACTACACCAAGGTGCACCCCAGCTCTACATTCAGTCTTGTTTTGGTCTTGCTATGGAGTGCAGGCAGGCCTTCAACTCTATCTTCTTGCCTCAGATTCTCTCTCTTTTTTTTTTTCCTTTTTTTTCTTTCTTTCTTTTCTTTTTTTTCTTTTTCTTTATCTTTTCTTTTTTTTTTTTTTTGAGATAAGGTTTCTCTGTATAGTCCTGGCTGTCCTGGAACTCACTCGGTAGACCAGGCTGGCCTTGAAATCAGAAATCCACCTGCCTCTGCCTCCCAAGTGCTGGGATTAAAGGTATGGGCCACCATTGCCTGCCTGGCTTAAAGTGATTCTTAAAGTGGGGCTCCTGGCAAACTTTGACTATTGCAGTTGGGTAATGTGGGGGACAAGCGTCTGCCTTGTTGAATGGTAAATAAACACAAAGAACGACCCCTTTGAGGCTGTGGTGTGCTGCAGGCATCCCCAGTGCATTCTATGTTCATCCCCTGGGTGGTGTGATCTCATCAGACAACTCTGAGTGGCAAGTTTGTGCTTTCCCAGAGCGTGAACTGCTGGAGTCTATGCCCTCCTGTGCCCCCAGCACACAAAAGCTTATGGGTGATACGTACAGGAATTCCTCTGAAAGCCATGAGTGCACCGTTGTCCTTGTACGACGAAGAGAGCCCAACAGAGACACTTTCTATCTGCAAGACAAACAGGAAGACCAGGGTCAATCTCCTGTAGTAATAATCTTCCTCGGACCATAGTTTAAATTTCTCACCTTTTCCTAGAATCACAAAGAAATGAATTTTGGAGAAATTAGCTACAATATTATAAAAGCAAACCACTAGGCATGGTGGTGCACTTGGGAGGTGAGAGGCAGGGCCAAGCATCTGAGGCCAGTGTAGGCTGCAGAAGAGCCTAGTTCAGCCCTTGACTCCTATGATGGTGGTGGTGCAGGCAGGCTTTTGCTTCAGGCATTGGGTCCATATAATCTTAAGATGAGGATGTAGCTGGTTCAGCACCGTGTAGTGTGAATGTGGTCCGGGCACCCACCATAAGAGAAAAAAAAGGAGAAGAGAGAAAGAGGGGAGGAAAAACTATGAAAGGATTACTTAATGTAATACTGTATGTATGTATGTATGTATGTATGTATGTATGTATGTATGTATATTTGTATGCATGTATGTATGTATGCATGCACGTATGTGTGCGTGTGTATGTATGTGCAGGTCTGAGTGTAACTTGTAGGAGCTGGGTCTCTCCTTCTACTGTGTGAGTCTGGGGACTTGAAGTCAGCTCAGCAGGCTTGGCAGCAAGCAGGTTTACTGCTAAGCCATCTCACCAGGCCCTAAGGAATCTTATGTAGGTTGTTCTGGTGATAGCAAGTCTTGAGACTTGTGTCAATGAGGCTCACTGAGGCGGTTTGCCCAGCCCCTTCACTCAGCAAACCTTGCCCTTAGTAGTGTGTAAAAAGGCAAAACAATGACAAACCACAGTGACAAAAGAAGCAAAATCACAGAGGCAGGCAGATTTCCGAGTTCGAGGCCAGCCTGGTCTACAGAGTGAGTTCCAGGATAGCCAGGACTATACAGAGAAACCCTGTCTCGAAAAACCAAAAAAAAAAAAAAAAAAAAAAAAAAAAGAAGAAGCAGCAAAATCACACAGCAGTGGCAAAGCCCTTGAACAAGTATCTCCACTCACATCACAGGCACGGGTGTGACCGTCCCCACTCACATCATAGGCAGAGGTGTGACCGACCCCACTCACATCACAGGCAGAGGTGTGA